GTCCCGATAATTGAGGAGTCTGAACAAAAAGGGTTGAGCGCCGACTGGAGGAACACGTGCTGGGGCTCTGTGTGCACGTTCTACTGCAAACATGGGGGAGAATGTATCACTGCCAAAGGCAGAGATCAGCCAAGCTTCAATAAAGGCTACAGGATTTTTACCCTCAGTGCGCTCTGGGATACCCACTGCGCACACATTGTTATGGCGTAACTGATTTTACCAATCTAGGGGCATTAGTAGAAGCACAGATCACACGTCCCTATATAATGGTTGCCAATCATCTTCCAGGGTACTCGCTCTCCCCTCCAAGGCCGCAGTGCAATCCTGCAGTTTCTGCATATCTTGGCGCACCAGGGTCAGTTCCATCCTCATCCGCTTCACCTCCCTGGTAAGAACCACTATAGATGAGGTGCATGCAGTGACTGTGGAGAGAATTTCTCTAAGGGTGGGTTCAAAATGATCTTCAATGGAAACAGCAGGCTGTTTCCCATGAGACTGGGATGGTGGGATACTCTCTGCGGGACTGCAGGATGGGATCTCTCGGTCTGCCAGTTCAAGAAGGATCTGTGTACAACCTGCACAGTCTAAGTCCGGATCAGTAGCAGAGTCCAAAAGTTGTTTCTGGGAAGTTTCCCTGGTGAGCGGCCTGGCAATGAAAATTTGAGCGGCCTCTCTCTGCTTTTGCTTGGATGCATGGATCGGGGTACCGCCATCTTGCCCAGCTGACTCAGGCAAGGCCCACATTTCTTTCCCCCTTTTAGCCATCTCGGATCAGGATAATCAGGGCACCAAGTGACAGCAGGGGGGTTGGAGCACACCATGGGGACCCGAGATGCCGTTGTAGCCGGAGAATGAGGTGCCAATCAGGATAATTAACAGGATGCAGAGCGGAGCTCACCAAGAACATGTCCTACTGCATGCAAAGCTGGCCACGCCACATCAGAAATAACTTCAAACAAAGAGCATGCTCCATCAGTAAAATCTGCCCTCAAAGCGCACTCCCTATTATCCCTGCCTACACCCCTAGTGGCATGTGGTACCAACAAAAAGTTATCCTTTTCTATTTTTGTAGCTCCTGGGACTTCTCACCTCTCAGGATCTCACACCCCATTTCTCTGTATGCAGCTCCTGAGACCTTGCATCCTTATTTGTGCAGTTCCTCGACCTATTGAACACTCTACTCTGCATATACTGTGCTGAATTTTTTTTTTTTTCCCTGTCAAGGAAAATTATATAACACATAGGGTTTTTGTTGCCATCCTCTGCATCAACTGCTAGTTTAAGTTTCTGAGTAAGCAAGGTTTTTAATCTTATTTTTGTATTTTAGTTTATCTTTCTTTTAAACTTGACAATGGGGTTTTACTAAAGGCTGTTCATTTAGCTTTGTAAACAAGGTGAAACTGTACTATCTTGAAATAGTCATGTGCAAGGAAAATTAAAAACATAATTTTTGCTTGCACATGATTGGATAATTGAATTAATCCCATTTTAAAGGAAAGGGTCACAGGAGTGTTACTTAGTTCTACATTCCTGTGACCCGATAAAGCCTGCTGTTGGCTTGACATCGCAGAACTGGTCCAGGCTCTGCAGGGTTCCCAACAATGTTGAGATCTTCCCAGATACCTGACCAGCAGCTGGCTCTGACTCCCATTGTGACACTAAAAGCCTGAGCCCAGCTGCTCCTGCTGTCTTAGCCTGGCACTCCAGTGAGCCCTGAAAGGGCAGAGCAGAGGGCTGATGACTGACAGACACTGTTCTTTTCTCAGAGTTGATGTAAAACTAAGCAATCAGCTTGTTTGCTCAGTTCTCGGTTTAGAGTTGGTGCAGCCAAAAAGATACTAGTATAAATGTGACACCAATGATGGGGCACTATTCCACCCCCCACTGACACCAACAATGGGGCATTTTTCCTCCCCTCCACTGACACCAACGATGGGGCACTATTCTACCCTCCACTGACACCAACGATGGGGCACTATTCCATCCCCCACTGACTCCAATGATGGGGCACTATTCCCCCCTCCCCCACTGACACCAACGATGGGGCACTATTCCACCCCCCACTGACACCAACGATGGAACACTATTCCCTCCCACTGACACCAATGTTGGGACACTATCCCCCCCACTGACACTAATGACGGGGCACTATTCCCCTCCACTGACACAATGACGTACTATTTCTCCCACTGACACCAAAGATGGGGCACTATTCTTCCCACTGACACCAATGATGGGACACTATTCCTCCCACTGACACCAATGATGGGGCACTATTCCCCCCCACTGACACCAGTGACGGAGCACTATTCCCCCCCCCCCCACTGACACCAATGGGGTACTATTCCTCCCACTGACACCAATGATGGGGCACTATTCCACTGACACCAATGATGGGGCACTACCCCCCCCACTGACACCAACGATGGGGCACTATTCCTCCCCCGACTGACACCAGTAATGGGGCACTATTCCTCCCCCCACTGACACTAATGATGGGGCACTATTCCTCGAACTGACACGAATGATGGGGTACTATTCCTCCCACTGACACCAATGATGGGGCATGATTCCCCACTGACACCAATGATGGGGCACTATTCCACTGACACAAATGATGGGGCACGTTTCTTCCCACTGACACCAATGAAGGGGCACTATTCCTCCCACTGACACCAATGATGGGGCATGATTCTTCCCACTGACACCAATGATGGGGCACTATTCCACTGACACAAATGATGGGGCACGTTTCTTCCCACTGACACCAATGAAGGGGCACTATTCCTCCCACTGACACTAATAATGGGGCAGGATTCTTCCCACTGACACCAATGATGGGGCACTATTCCTCCCACTGACACCAATGATGGGGCACGTTTTTTTTCCACTGACACCAATGATGGGGCACATTTCTTCCACTGACACCAATGATGGGGCACGTTTCTTCCCACTGACACCAATGATGGGGCACGTTTCTTCCCACTGACACCAATGATGGGGCACGTTTCTTCCCACTGACACCAATGATGGGGCACGTTTCTTCCCACTGACACCAATGATGGGGCATGTTTCTTCCCACTGACACCAATGATGGGGCACGTTTCTTCCCACTGACACCAATGATGGGGCACGTTTCTTCCCACTGACACCAATGATGGGGCACGTTTCTTCCCACTGACACCAATGACACGTTTTCTTCCCACTGACACAATGATGGGGCACGTTTCTTCCCACTGACACCAATGATGGGGCACGTTTCTTCCCACTGACACCAATGATGGGGCACTTTCTCCCACTGACACCAATGATGGGGCACTATTCCTCCCACTGACACCAATGATGGGGCACTATTCCTCCCACTGACACCAATGATGGGGCACTATTCCTCCCACTGACACCAATGATAGGGCACTATTTCGCTCCATAAGACACACTTGGGGGGAAATGTCTGTGCGTCTTATGGAGCGGCCGGCCCAGTATTCCTGCCGCCGTTGTATGTCCACAGTCTCTGGTCATCTCCTGTACTGTGTCCGCATTTGTTCATAGTTTTTTTTTTTTTTTTTTTAAACTATAGTCCGGCCCTCCAACGGTCTGAGGGCAGTGAACTGGGCCCCTGTTTAAAAAAGTTTGAGGACCCCTGGTATAGATACTGCAATTTACGCCATTTTTTTTGCTATACAGCGCTGCACTAGTTTAACGGACAATTGCGTGGTCATGCAATACGGTACATAAATGAAATTTATGTCCTTTTTTTCACACAAATAGAGCTTTCTTTTGGTGGTATTTGATCGCCTGTGCGGTTTTTTTATTTTTTTTGCGCTATTAAAAAAAAAAGGCGGACAATTTTGAGAAAAAAAAACAATATTTTGGACTTTTTCCTATAAAACTTGTCTAGTAAAAAAAATTTAAAAATCAAATTTTGTCATAAATGTTGGCCAAAATGCATTCTGCGACATGTCTTTGCTAAAAAAAAAACCCAATACGTGTAAATGAATTGGTTTACGTGAAAGTTATAGTGTTTACAAATGGCGGGATTTTTAATTTTTTTTTTATACTAATAATGGCAGCGATCAGCGACTTATGGCAGGACTGCGGCGGACATTCTGACACTGGGGGGAACTGACTTGGGGTCACTGACATCCCCAGTGACACCAATACAGTGATCAGTGCAAAAATAAAAAACACTGACACTGTACTAATGGCACTGGGGAGGAAGGGGTTAACTTTTTTATTCACTGAAAGGGTTAACTGTGTGAGGGGAGTGTTTTACTAGGGGGCGGGGGTGTGTACTGCACAGGGACATGCTGATCGGGAGAGATAAACTCTTCTCTCCCGATCAGTGTGTCAGGAGCTGTCAGGGAACTGACAGAAAGCAGAGCTGCTGCAGACCTGCTCTCTGTCAGTGATTGCCGCTAATCGGCGGGACACAGCCGGTAATGACCGGCCATGACCCAGCGACTGACACCTGCGGCCGGGATTGGCGGTGCGGGTAGGGCGGCAGCGCACCTCGTGCGTGCCCCCTACCTGTTTTGCAAAGCGTGTTTTAAAAACGTGCTTTTGCCCTGCCGTGCCGCCCTGCCGCCGTATTTCAACAGTGGCTGGGCGGCGAGTGGTTAACGTTACTAAGCTAACATTCCTTTTACATAGTGAACATGCTTTATTAAGAGAATTAAGCACTATGTGAGACCAATTCACACCATTAATTACACATTCCAGAAGACAGCAATTTGTATACTGTGCTGTACTATTCAATATACTGTATGTCCCAGTTGGTGCCAGACTGTACACTATGCTCTGCATTTTACATATTTGCGGTGCAGTGTATAATCTGCCCACTGTCTATTGTTCTCCTTCCAGTTGGTAAAATGTGGATTAGGTTAATTTTCAGGTCTATAATATAATATACTGTGTTGTATGTGAAAGATCTATTTCAAGTATGTACTGTACCTGACATTTACAAACAAGATTGTTTTTTACTATTTTTACGCATTTCCTAGCCATGGAACACGTTGTGCTGGAGAAGTGGCTGCAGTAGCAAATAATAACGTCTGTGGTACAGGGATTTCATACAATGCAAGAATAGGAGGTAATGCATGCTAAAAGCTTCATAATACAAAAAAACCCTATAAGATGGCTCTCAACATCTCTAAATTTATTTAAATTGATTTATTCCCTAGGCATCCGGATGCTCGATGGGTTGATCACTGATATTATTGAAGCTCGGTCTCTGAGTCTGAATCCACAGCACATTCACATCTACAGTGCAAGCTGGGGACCAGAGGATGATGGAATGACTGTGGATGGACCAGGCATTTTAGCTATGGAAGCCTTTTATAGGGGAATAGTACATGTGAGTTCTGTATGTAATACTTATATTCATTGTTCAGTTGTCTTATGTCGCTTTTCTCTTGTTCAAATATTTTATTTGGAGAAAAAGATAACGGTCTACGTACGTAAGTATGTGTAAGTACAAATGACAGAGAGTGGGAGTTACAGTGGTAGTATTCAGGAATTGCAAACCAGATCCATATAGTGAGAATTGCATATACATTGCGTACAGAGGTGAATTCCGACTCACGCAGGTAGAGCTCATAGGTAGTTGGGCAGTAGGTGAACCATTGTTGAAAGTAGGGTGATGCCAGTGGTGTATTTAGGTTTTGTGCTGCCCTAGGCAACACATAATTTGCCCCCCCCAGAGATCCTGACATACCCCAGCCACTCCCTCCCAGCAAGAGAGAGAGACACATTCACAGCTCTGGACATCCCCAGGTATGAGAGTCAAACAGCCTGCAGCCACTCTCAGATCCCACCTGGTCCCCAAGCTGCATGTGTCCCTTCTTCCCGTCTCTTCTTCCTGGGGGGTGGTGCTGCCCTCCTGGAAAATGCTGCCCTAGGCAAATGCCTTGTTTGCCTTGTGGTAAATACACCCCTGGGTGATGTGACAGAAGAGCTAGTGCCACCGGGTCACTGTAAGAGGGGAGAACATGGGAGTTTCTTCTGTCGCTTTTCTTAGTAGCATCAATTAACTTAGGTGCATGCATTCTTTTACATTTTTTAATTTTATTTCATATCTTCCTCATCAATATGGTAAATCCATCAGAACAAAAAATGGAAATTTGGCCTTTTTTCATGAATAGTTAATTTATTACTGCCTTAGAAGGCTACATTTATTACCCTCCTCAAAACCTCAGAGGATCACTGAAGGTTACTGTGCTTCAAAAGATTTGTATTTAAACATATTAAAACCCCCGCCGGGAGAACACAGTGATTACTGCTAACGGCAATAATCGCATGTAAAATCCAACAAGCTGGTTGTACCCGAGTTGATTGATTATTCAGCCTGCCCATACATGATTTGAATCTTGGCGGATCCCTGCTGAACTGGCCGAGATTCAAGCACCACTGGGTTTTTTATTTTTGCTAAAAGACCCAACATTTTGGAAAAAAAAATGCGTTTTTCTTCGTTATAATATTTTTGCAAATAAATAATCTTCATAAATTTAGGCCAAAATGTATACTGCTACATTTCTTTTTTAAAAATTGGCCAAATCCGTGTATTATTTAGCCTATTGAAAGATTAAAAAGTTGTAGTATGGAGTCCACAAAATATGGTGTGTGTGTATATTTGAAAATCAACCAGTCCTGATTTACTGACGGCCTCATTTCTTGAGGATTGAAAATGCCAGGACAGTACAAATACCCCCCAAATGACCCCATTTTGGAAAGAAGACAGTCCAATGTATTTAGTAAGTTTTTTGAAGTTGTAATTTTGTTGTCACACTTTTCTATTTTTTTTTAAACGCACTGTCACAAGTGCAGCACAGCATCCATCATCTAACTGGTGTTGTGGTGATCAGGGACACTGACTGGTGACAGTAAAAAAGTCTTTTTGTAATACAATTTTTTATTTTTTAAACATACTGTGACCAGAGGAATACAATGTTACCATAATAACCCTGTACTACCCTGAAGACGTCATCAGGATTTTTTTTTTGTTGTTACACACTATGATTGCTTATAACAGTAATAATCACAGTTATAGGCAACTATTTTTTTATGAATGAAGTCCATTCATTCATTTTGTACTATTGTGATTAGCTGTGATTGGCCACAGCTAATCACATGGTACAGATGGGCTGTGATTTGTCCTGTCTGTACCATGTGATTTCTGTGACCATTTACAGAAATCCACACAATGAATGGAAGTATACAATGAATGGAAGCCGTTTTTATTGTGTACAATTGCCACGTGATATGCTGTGATTGGTCACGTCACAGCAGTCATATGGTATGGCAGCAGCTTGGTACACTGATCTGCCTGAACCTGGGAGGATATCATATGATGTCCACAGAAGACAGCAGCAGTCCCACTCAGCCGTCATTTGTCTATAGGCCTTGCGGGAGGCAGTTAAAAGTAAAGACACTTTTTTTTTTTTTTTTAAAGAATAAGTGATTAATAAGTTAATACCCCTGTAAGTTTTTTTTTTTTCTTTTCTTTTTTTTTTCTTGCTATCTGTGTCCCATTGGGAAGATTTCCCTTCACTTCCCGTGACATAACTAAAACAAGAAGTGAGTGAAAATTCCTCTGAAATGAGAAAATCCTGGTTGTCACCAAAATTAGTGTGTTCCCACTGGAAGATTTCACTTCAATTATTGTTTTGGGACAACTCAATATTGAGAATTTCTTTCACTTTTTGTGATAACGGTAAACAGAACAAATAGAGAGGGTGAATCTCTCTAACAGGGACACAGACAACAATAAAATCTGACTGGTGTTCTAATCCCTCTCCACTCTATGCAAAACTAAAAGCAAAGTTTTGCTTTTAGTCATAATTTAAGATTGCACTGAACCTTCTAGGATAGATCTAAATATTTTTAGATCTCTTGTGATAGCTAGCAATTGGAAAGCAAAATTATCTGGCTATCATGCTGAGCTTCTCTGTGCTCCTCACAGCTTTTTTTTGGTCCTCCACAGCCAGCGCTGAAATTGTCTGTAACCCAGGAGAGCAGTCAAATCACTTCCCCAGCTTTTGACAGCGCTCAAGCCTGGCGATTGAATGGTGACATTTGCAAAGACTCTGTCACTGTGTCCAGTTTATATAAGCAGGGTGATGCTTTGCAGTTTTACCTCCTTCCTGCCCAGGCCAATTTTCAGCTTTCGGTGCTGTTGCACTTTGAATGACATGCGACAGTGTACCCATATGAAATTTTTATAAATTTTTTTCACACAAATAGAACTTTCTTTTGGTGTTATTTAATCACCACTGGGTGTTTAATTTTTTGTGCTATAACTAAACAAATTTGGAAAAAAAAGTTTTTCTTTGTTTCTATTATAAAATTTTACAACCAGGTAATTTTTCTCCACTGATGTGCATTGATGAGGCTGCACTGATAGGCTGCACTGATAGGCAGCACGGATGGGCAGCACTGACTGGTGGCAATGATGTGGGGCACTGATGGGCATTTGTGGATGGCACTGCGGGACACTAGTGGGTGGCACTGGTGGCCACTGATCATCAGTGGCCGATCTGTTTTCTGACAATTGCCGGTTCTCGGCAGTACTTTCCCACACTGTGACAGCGAAAGTGCAGCCGAGAACCAGCATTTACCCGGTGATCTGCTGTTTCATTGAACACATCTGATCACGTGGTAAAAGGCTGCTGTGATTGGACGTTTACCACATCACGTGATCAGCTATGTCCATAGGGCACAGCGATCACGGAGATCGCCGGGTGCGCGCAGCTAGGGGTGCCAGAGGGCCACATTGTGGGAGGATGTCATATGCCGCCCTCCCAGAACTTGACAACTGTGCTGCAGCCGTCATTCGGCTATAGCACAGTTGGCAAGTGGTTAATATATGTAGTGCTACCCCCCTCCCAGGTTCTGCTTGATAATGCTTGTCCCCAGTGGTTGCCCTGACCTTGCAGGCCTCCCGACACCTCTGACACACTGGGTTTAGACATATTTCAACAGTATAGGATAATAAAGTGATTTTTTTGTAACACATCTATATTAGTTCTGTTCAAAAGAATAGACCACATGAATATTTGGTTTAGAATATACAATCCCAGTTAACACCTAAAAATAGAACACTGGTAAAATAGGAATAACCAGTAAGCAATGTTGAACAAAACGAGTCGTAAGCTTTCACTATTAAACTGCAACACCAGAAGTAAGAGAGGGAAGAAAAGGCTTGTTGACTCATCAGCTCCTTCTAGGTCACCAACTCCTCAATGGTGGATGCAGAGAATTATGTAAATATGTACTCCAATGTAAATAGATGTAAATATCCCAATTTGAGGAATAATGGCCTTATAAAAGAAGAGGTCCCTTTAACTAGAGATTGAGTCCTGTGATGTTTAAAGTTCCTGATATGGTGGTGTCTGTTGTGTTCTGCTAGCAATGGTGGAGCCCATAAACCGTAGTGAAATACTGGTAATTCAGTGAAGTTAAACAGGTTGTGGTACTACGCAAAGGAAAGATCTCCTGATACTGAGATGTAAAGGTGTCTGCATTCAGTGTCTCTAGATTGATAGCATAGGTTGGGCATTCACCCACTCCCCAATCCCTTGGATAGCACAGCCGCCTAAGAACAAGAATTCTTACACAGGCTCCTGACTGCAGGGATGTGCAGATGCCGCCTGATGGCCTGTCAGCTCAGCACGCAGAGATGTCTGATGTGATCACAGTATAGCAATCAATGTCACTGCTGTGCTGAATGTGCAGAGTCCTGTAGCAGTCGGCAAGCAATCTGTCTCTGGAGAAGAATGGCAGTCCCCCTGTGTTCAGCTCTGAATCCCACACCAAGAGAGGGAGCCAGTCAGTGTCACTGAACACAGACAGTGTGAGTTCAGAGATGCACACACATGTGTGAATGAAAGCTTAGAGCAGGGGTCCTCAAACTATGGCACACGGGCCAAATCCAGCTCGCCAAAAATATTTACCTGGCCTGCCGGGCTGGCAGGAAAAAAAAAACAGGTGATGGCAAATAGCTAGGCTGCTCAGCCGTGAGGACCCAGCGAGCGGCAGCCTGGTGAAGATTCACCGCCTGATTTCAGGCTGAGGAGCAACAGGAGAGGACACCAGGCACAGTGCATTGCGGAGTCCAGTGCGTTGCAGTATACAGTGCATTTTAAATATTGTATTGTCTTTTCCTGGTTTTTTTTCTTCACTACAAATAAGATATGTGCAGTGTGCATAGGAATTCAAGCTATAGTCCGGCCCCCCAACAGTGTGAAGGTCAGTGAACTTGAGGACCCCTGCTTTAGAGAGTACTTCATCATAGTCCTAGACAGAGGTTCTTCCTGTAATTTAACCTAGAACAATCAACGTATCACATAATTTGTGCTACTGTCTTTGTGGACTTCTCCTTGTTCAAATATATCCCCAGGATTCCTGAAAAGGCATTGTTTCTCCTGGAAAAGTTGTATACTACAAAGATGGTGTGACTTTTTTTATTCTCCTGAGATAGGTTTCACATGTGAAACACATTATGCAAGTCTTCATCCACACAACCTCTATCAAGTATTTGAGACAACCACATCCAGGTTTAGACAAATAAGATCAGTAAAAGGTCTATCAAAATATTTACAATAGAAGGTGCTGCATTGTAAATTTTTTTGGGTATATTTGTATATACATTTTTATGGTTGCAATGAGAATATTATGATAATTTTTTTTTTCTGTATACAAAATAAAATCTGGAAATAATTTTGTTTCCTTAATTATGATTTGCTAATATACATTTTCCTACATTTCTTGGTATCATCAAATTTCCAGATTAAGTTGTAGGCTTCTATCTATGTATTGAACGGGGTGAAAAAGTTATTTTTACCTGTACCCGTACCCCCCCTGGTAATTAACTTGATTTATTGAATGGCTTTTGTTTTGTAATTATCAGGTAATATATGGAGATTGAGTGTATGTTACCTAGCTTCACATATTTTTAATATTTTTGTGGTTGATGTCTATAGCATGTCTTTGTATTTTATTTACTAGTGATAGACTCCTCCACCACTTAAAATATAACGACGTGTACCTAAATCTGTAACTTTTTGTAACTTTTTGGTGGATCTTTGTGAAGTTGTAAGACTTGCTGTAGCAATTTAGCTCTAGTTTTGTTTTTTGGGGGGTTTGGGGTGGTTCTTTAATTTTATTACATTTGACTTGTAACATCTTTATTTTGTATGGTTGCAAATTTAGAAATATATTTGAACCTGAGGAGAAATGCATGTTAGTCTGCAAAACTAGACTGCTTTATTTTGTTTAAATACAAAAATAGATGCACTGTTCCTTTTAGTGCTTATAAAATGTGCAATAATTTACATCCCACAAATAAAGTGCATCAATGTAAAATCAATAAAAATAAAATTCAAAAATCAGAAAAGTTATGTAACAACACCCCAAAAAGTGCATAAGGGCTCGTTCACACTTGGCTGTTTTACCAACGCTTGCCAAACGCCCCTATAGCGTTTGGCAAGCGTTGGTCCGGCGTTTGTGGGGCGTTATTAACGCTCGGCAAACGCTCCGCAAACGCCGCATGCGCGGTTTAGTGGCGGTTGCTAGGCGTTTGCCGAGCGTTAATAACGCCCCACAAACGCCTATAATACAGTTTGAGTGGTGTTACCGCTCCGCAAACGCCCCGCAACCGCGCGGCACCATAGACGAGAATAGGAGGCTTCAAAGCCTCCTGACTCGACCAGAGGCGTCCGTTTTTCAGCGCCGCGACGCAAACGCTCCCGTTAGAACAGCACCATGTGCTGTAATGTGCAGAATTGGCAGAGGCGTTTGGGAAGCGGTAAAAACGCTTACCAAACGCCTCTCTGCCGCCTGCACACAAGGCTAGTGTGAATGTAGCCTTAGTGAAAAGAAAACACTGTGATCCCAAAGGGAACACCTGGAGAATCACATGATTTGCAGTGTTTTTCATTTCAAAGCACCACTTTGGCCACTTCGAGCAGGAACTTTTTTTTTTTTTTTTGGTACGTTATTTATTGATATATCAGAATAATTTATTTATTGGATTTTTTAATTGATTTTACATTGATGCACTTTTATTTGTGGTGTGTAAATTATTACACATTTTATGAGCACTTGAAAGGACAGTGCACCTATCTAAATATTTTGTATCCAGTATTCAGAATATTTAGAGTGCTTCTGTTCTTGGTTTAATTTTCTTAAAGTCATGGAATGCAGGATTTTTGGATTGACATAGTTTACTTTGTTGTCAATGCTGGTTCTAAATTTAAAACTGCTATTATAAAAGCTACATTCCAACTTTCTGTGGCCCTTGCATAATGTGAAGTTTGTCCTTGGATTTTCTGGACATACCAGCTGTACTGTGGTCAGTATGTTTTTAGATGAATTTTTGCATTTTGTCCCAACACAAAATGCATTCATCTACAACTAAAGGCTCTCTTATGAGAGTCTAAGTAAAATCCAAATATTATGTAATGTACAAACCTCATAAGGTAAAGTAGGAAAAAAAACAAAACAAAAAAACTTTACTTTCACATGAGCCAAATCCTCCATTTCTGTATCTCACACACTTTTCCTCCATGACACTGCCACTCACCGTGGGCAACAGAAGCAGTGATGTCAAATGCATAAAGCAGTAGGCAGGGCTAGGTGTGGCCAGGTGCTGACTGACAAGAGGCAGACTTTTGAATCAGCTGCGATTCACACCTCCTGAAACTATTTTCCATTTCACTGTAGTGCAAGCAGGCAAAGTGCCTACATGAGAGCAGCAACTCTGTTCCGAATTCAGGAACAATGCTGCATAATTCCACACCATTACAGGAAGGTGAATGAGGATGACTTCACCTGCACTTAAAATGAAGTGTTGCGGTACATTTTTATTTTTGATGTGAAGCCATAGTTTTATTTTGAGTGAAAAACATTGATGATGCTTGTATATCATGTGCCTCATTTCAAACATAATTCCAGAAGTACAGCTTCCTTATGTTGTACCTTTTTAACTGCATGTCACTTTCACGATAAAGCTGCCTTATTTTCTTTTCTTCAGCACTTTTCAGTGTTTTTTCCTTTGTTTTAGGGACGTGGTGGACTTGGTTCCATTTTCGTTTGGGCATCTGGAAATGGTGGTCTGCATTATGATGACTGTAATTGTGATGGCTACAGCAATAGTATATACACTCTGTCTGTTGGCAGCACCACTGAGAATGGAGAAATTCCATGGTATAGTGAGGCTTGCTCTTCCATACTCACTACTACATTTAGCAGTGGCAAAAAGAAAGAAAGGCAGATTGTAAGTATCTGTCATGATACTTGCATTCATCACAGCCACTACTCTAATGCACTCATGCCACTACTACCCTCTCCACGGATACATTTCACACATGCGCATCCTTAGTGTAGCACCCTCCTAGTTTAGCTAGGGGGAGCTAGACCCTAATGGTTACTTAGGAGCTGATTAGCAGCGCAGGTGAGATTGCCATAGGGGTCAAATTCTGATCAGGACTGAGAGAGAGACTATGCAGGTCAGCCCCTCTGGAATTTCCCTCTGCTCTGAGGCTTTTGTCGGAGGGCCATGGTGGCAGTGGGTGGATCAGAAGTGGTTGGTTGCACTTTTGAGGAACCTTCACCAATTCCCAACTTGGCAAGGGGCTGGCATAAAAAGTGTAAGGGCCTGCTCTGTAGCAGGAATTTGTGGAGATAGAGAGGAGTGAGAAGCAGGAAGATGTGAAGCTGGAGGAAGAAGGCTCCCAAGAGGCCTAGTGGGATGGGGCCTGTCTGCGAGCCTGGAGCTGTAAAGGAGGAAAACTCACTGGACCCCTGAGAGAGGACCACCTGTGTAGCAGAGAAGGAGCAGCCCAGCTGTTAGGCCTGGTAGCTGCAGCCATTCCGCAAGTGGTGCAGGAGAGGATCTAAGTGAGTACACCTGCACCCCCTGGGTGGATGGGGGAAGGCGCACTCTGATGGGAAACCAGAGTAGCCCTCTGCTAGTGACTGTACACCTTACTTAAAGGAACAGGAGCTAGATCCCCTGTTCAGCAAGTGTCTCCAGATTGCTGGGTGAGGAGGAGTTCATCTGGTGTCTGGGGTAGTACAACTGAAGCAGCTCGTGAAGCTGTGATAGAGAAGGGAAGCTGTGAATAGTTCAGTTGTCTACAGATATTGGTTCCCATGGGCATCGTATACACCCCTCACCCCAGTTTTATCCCCTAGATAAAATAATAAAACCAGCGCTCAAGGCCTGATTTCTGTCTTTGGGTGTAAGCCTGTGTGGAAAGTGCTGACTGACTGGCTATGCAGTACTATAGGGGAACCCAAGTTCATCAGCAATCCCGAAGGGGGTAGTGCTACATTAGGAATAGAAAATATAGAAAAGCTTTCAGGTCTAGAGCCACTGATTGGGGGTAATGCTCTGCAAGCTCCTGTGAAAAAAAATGCACATTTTTTTCCTGCAAAAACACGTGCATTTATTTTTTCTTATAAAGGTGAACCTAGCCTTTAAAGTAAACAGGTTAATTATGTCCATGAACAGATACAGTGGGGCAAAAAAAGTATTTAGTCAGCGACCCAATTGTGCAAGTTCTCTCACTTAAAAAGATGAGAGAGGCCTGTAATTGGCATCATAGGTAGACCTCAACTATAAAAGACAAAATGAGAAAAAAAATCCAGAAAATCACATTGGCTGATTTGGAAAGAATCTATTTGCAAATTATGGTGGAAAATAAGTATTTTTCACCTACAAACAAGCAAGATTTCTGGCTCTCACAGACCTGTACCTTCTTCTTTAAGAGGCTCCTCTGTCCTGCACTCATTACCTACCTGTATCAATTGCACCTGTTTGAACTTGTTATCAGTATAAAAGACACCTGCCCACAACCTCAAACAGTCACACTCCAAACTCCACTATGGTGAAGACCAAAGAGCTGTCGAAGGACACCAGAAACAAAATTGTAGACCTGCACCAGGCTGGGAAGACTGAATCTGCAATAGGCAAGCAGCTTGGTGTGAACAAATCAACTGTGGGAGCAATAATTAGAAAATGGAAGACATACAAGACCACTGATAATCTCCCTCGATCTGGGGCTCCATGCAAGATCTCACCCCGTGGGGTGAAAATGATCACAAGAACGGTGAGCAAAAATCCCAGGACCACACGGGGGGACCTAGTGAATGACCTGCAGAGAGCTGGGACCAACGTAACAAAGGCTACCATCAGTAACACACTACGCCGCCAGGGACTCAGATCCTGCAGTGTCGGACGTGTCCCCCTGCTTAAGCCAGTACATGTCCGGGCCCGTCTGAAGTTTGCTAGAGAGCATTTGGATGATCCAGAAGAGGATTGGGAGAATGTCATATGGTCAGATGAAACCAAAATAGAACTGTTTGGTAGAAACACAACTCGTCGTGTTTGGAGGAGAGAGAATGCTGAGTTGCATCCAAAGAACACCATACCTACTGTGAAGCATGGGGGTGGCAACATCATGCTTTGGGGCTGTTTCTCCGCAAAGGGACCAGGACGACTGATCCATGTACAGGACAGAATGAATGGGGCCATGTATCGTGAGATTTTGAGTGCAAACCTCCATCCATCAGCAAGGGCATTGAAGATGAAACGTGGCTGGGTCTTCCAACATGACAATGATCCCAAATATACCGCCCGCGGGCAACGGAGTGGCTTCGTAAGAAGCATTTCAAGGTCCTGGAGTGGCCTAGCCAGTCTCCAGATCTCAACCCCATAGAAAACCTTTGGAGGGAGTTGAAAGTCTGTGTTGCCCAGCGACATCCCCAAAACATCACTGCTCTAGAGGAGATCTGCATGGAGGAATGGGCCAACATACCAGCAACAGTGTGTGCCAACCTTGTGAAGACTTACAGGAAACGTTTGACCTCTGTCATTGCCAACAAAGGATATATAACAAAGTATTGAGATGAACTTTTGATATTGACCAAATACTTATTTTCCACCATAATTTGCAAATAAATTCTTTCCAAATCAGCCAATGTGATTGTCTGGATTTTTTTTCTCATTTTGTCTCTCATAGTTGAGGTCTACCTATGATGCCAATTACAGGCCTCTCTCATCTTTTTAAGTGGGAGAACTTGCACAAATGGTGGCTGACTAAATACTTTTTTGCCCCACTGTATGTAAAAACATTGAGGTTATGTGATCATACACTATATTACCAAAAGTATTGGGACACCCCTCCAAATAATTGGATTCAGGTGTTCCAATCGCCTCCATAGCCACAGGTGTATAAAATCAAGCACCTAGGCATGCAGAGTGCTTCTACAAACATTTGTGAAAGGATGGGCAGTTCTCAGGAGCTCAGTGAATTCAAGCGTGGTAACGTGATAGGTTGTCACCTGTTCAATAAGTCAGTCCATGAAATTTCCTTGCTACTAAATATTCCACGGTCAACTGTTAGTGGTATTATAACAAAGTGGGAACAACTGCAACCGCCATGTAAAATGACAGAGCAAGGGCAGCGCATGCTGAAGTGCAGAAGTTGCCAACTGTCTGCAGAGTCAATAGCTAAAGACCTCCACTAACTTCATGTGGCCTTCAGGTTAGCACAACAGTACATAGAGAGCTTCATGGAATGGGTTTCCATGGCCGAGCAGCTGCATCCAAGCCTTACATTACTAAGTGCAATGCAAAATGTCAGATGGAGTGGTGTAAAGCACGCCACCACTGGTCTGTAGAGCAGTGGAGACATGTTCCCTGGAGTGATGAATCACACTTCTCTGTCTGGCAATCCAATGGACTTGTCTGGGTTTAGCAGTTGCCAGAAGAATGGTACTTGCTTGACTGTGTTGTGTCAAGTGTAAAGTTTGGTGGAGGGGGATTATGGTGTGGGATTGTTTTCCAGGGGTTGGGCTTGGCCCCTTAGTTCGGTGAAAGGAACTCTTAAGGTGTAAGCATACCAAGACATTTTGGACAATTTCATGCTCACAACTTTGTGGGAACAGTTTGGAGGATGGCCCCTTCCTGTTCCAACATGACTGCACACCAGTGCACAAAGCAAGGTCCATGAAGACATGGATAAGCAAGTTTGGGGTGGAGGAACTTGACTGGCCTGCATAGAGTTGTGACCTCAACCCGATAGAACACCTTTGGGATGAATTAGAGCAGAGACTGCAAGCCAGGCCTTCTTGTCCGACATCAGTGCCTGACCTCACAAATGCGCTTCTGGAAGAATGGTCAAACATTTCTATAGACACACTCCTAAACCTTGTGGATAACCTTCCTAGCAGAGTAACAGCTTTTATAGCTGCAAAAGGTGGGCCAACTCCATATTGAACCCTACAGACTAAGACTAAAGGTCATGTGTGTGTAAAGGCAGGCGTCCCAATACTTTTGGTAACCTAGTGTATGTTTAAACCAAGGTGGCATAGCATGAAGCAATACTTTCCACCACACTAAGTGTAATTTTGTTGTCTGCAGTGGCAGTTTATGTAGGAAAAAAATGGTACTAAAACTTGTGTTAATGCCTAGAACTATAAAGAATGAATGATACCAGTCTTATCAAGATTTACACTTCCCAACTTTTTCAGCCCACCACTGACCTGCGCAACCGGTGCACTGAACACCACACAGGAACATCAGCATCTGCACCTTTAGCTGCTGGGATAATTGCCCTTGCACTGGAAGCAAAGTAAGAATTACAGTCCAAAAAGGTGAAAATGATGACTTAAAGGAAATCCAGTGACTCATTTGTGATTCTTACACAGTCCTGCCCTCTCTTGGAGGGATGTCCAGCACATTGTGGTGAGAGCATCAAGTCCTGCAAATCTGGTTGTCGATGACTGGAAGGTAAATGGAGTTGGGAGAAAAGGTGAGTAAAGGAATCCTGTCTCACTGCACTATGCATGGGAATCTTTTCATTATGTTTTTATTTAAAACACCCTCCTTTTGAACATATACAAAGAAACTAGTGTCACTTAAAGAAAAGGTGCTTAAGGGCCTTAGGTAAAGTGCTCTGGCAGACCCTACAAATTATTTATATCTTGTGAGGGTCAAGTAGCATTATGAGATATTGGAGTTTGCCAAAATGCTTACCTTGCTCTCTATAAGTTGGGGTCTTCATGTCTTGCACAAATTTGTTCAAAAGTGCCAGGGGGTGCTTTTTCCAAAGGACAAAGAATTATGGTGCATACACCTCACAACAGAAAAAACAGGCTGTGTGTTACCTTGTTTCATGGTAATGCATGGTAAAGTGTGTGTTTGTACCACAACTCATATTTGTGAAGCCAGCCTTAACTCACAAGACATAGCTCTGTTCTTGGGGACCCATACTCATAGTGGCCACCATAACTATGACTGTCCTGTAAGAAAGAATTTTGTTGTGGTATGCATGCCTTCTTAAAGGAGGATGTGTTGCTCCGTGTGTGAATGCACAGTAAAGATTGTTGGATTGGGGCTAAGAGCAAGTATCTTTTCCAAAGAACTGAGAATTGTAGATTCAGTTAGGGTTTACATCTGCTTTAAAGAATAAGTTCAGCTTTCTGAACATGTTACTTCCATATTTAGGGTGTAACATGTTAAGCATCAGACCCTCTCACCCCGAGCCCCCCTTCCTTGAAGCAGCGAGCTGGGGATCTTCTTCCTGTACTCGCTACCGCAATGACACCCTTTTGTCATTGATTCACAGATCCCTGTGAGTCCATAAACTAGAAGTACCAACATCCTTTGAGGCTGTCGGCTTGTATTTCTCAATTAACTACCACAGTGCTGTTGAGCTCTGTGGTAGTTACTGATTCTTCCTGTCACTGTAAAACTGCCTGCCAGTACATTGACAGATTACACTGACAGCCTACAGGAGATCTGCATTGCACCAGTGGTCTGATCGCTGGTGCAATGCTTTCCAGGCTCCTAAAACAAAAAATAGGAAATGCACATTTTTTTACCTGCAAAAAAAGTGCATTTTATTTATTTATTTATTTATTTTCATTAAAAGGTAAACTTCTCTTTTAAAGCTGAAGCCTACTTCCTCCCCACAGCACTGATTTCACAAATATACAGATAAAATACAAATATGAAAGCTGTTTTACCTGCCAAAGGATTTGTATTTCTGTTCATCCAGTTATGAGATTTGCACAACTATGTCACACAGAACTGTCCTGCTATGCAAGTAAGGAAACCTGATCTTTTTATTCTGCAGTTTCACTTCTACTTACAGCCCTGACTGGAAGTGAAAGGAAAGTAGCAGGTGCATGATCTTGTCTCTCTCTTTCAGCTCTCTCCTCTTATTAGCATGCTTCTTATGCTGCAATACACATGATTGGCCTTTTGTGTCATTCTTCCCTGTACAGTATTGTTTGCATTTAAAATACATTGAAAGTGGTACTAAACTTAGATAAGGACCCCACTGGACCTTTATTGGATAAAATGCTATGTGGTTTTTAGTGGGAATGCACAGTGAATATTACTGGATCATGGCTAAGAGCAAGATCATCTTTTTCAAAGAACTGAGACTGGTACATACACCTCATGATATGAGTTGTCTTTATATTAATGTTACATTTATAATATACCACTGAGGAGGTCACTAAGGTCTTCTCAGAAGCCCGCCTCACCACTTGCCCCCTTGACCCTGTCCCCACACAACTCCTCCGGTCACCCTCCTCCTCCATCCTACGCTCCCTCACCCACATCTTCAATCTCTCCCTCTCTACTGGCGCATTCCCCTCTCCCCTTGAGCGCTTTGTCTACAATCGCCTAAGCTCCCACCTGACTGACAACAACCTCCTCGATCCACTACAGTCTGGCTTCCGTCCCCTACACTCCACCGAAACCGCCCTACTCAAAATCACTAATGACCTGCTAACCACCAAAGCTAATGGCCACTACTCACTCCTCCTACTCCTCGACCTTTCCGCGGCCTTCGACACAGTTGACCACCCCCTCCTCCTTAATAAACTACACTCCCTTGGCATCAGAGATTCCGCTCTCTCCCTGGCTCTCCTCCTATCTATCCCAACGCTCCTTCAGCGTTCCCTATAACGCTACCACCTCCCCCTCTCTCCCCCTCTCTGTTGGGGTCCCCCAAGGCTCTGTCCTCGGACCCCTTCTCTTCTCCATCTACACCTCCTCCCTCGGCAAACTTATACACTACCACGGCTTCAACTATCACCTCTACGCCGATGACATGCAAATTTACCTCTCCACTCCTCACCTCATCCCTTCAGTCTCCGCCCGTATCACCCGCCTACTGAACGACATATCAGACTGGATGCCGCTCCATTTCCTCAAACTGAACCTTTCCAAAATCGAGCTCCTAGTTTTCCCCCCAGCCCGTGCCCCCCCCCCCCCATCCTCTCCATCACGACCAACAACGCCACAATCGGTCCCACCCCGCAAGCCAAAGTCCTAGGTGTCACTCTAGACTCAAACCTGTCCTTCCAACCCCATGTCCAATCGTTGGCAAACTCATGCAGGCTCCACCTCCGCAACATCTCCAAAATACATACGTTCCTAACTCCAGACACTACTAAACAACTCATTCACTCCCTTATTATCTCACGCCTGGACTACTGCGACTCCCTTCTCACCGGCCTACCCCAACACAGGCTATCCCCACTTCAGTCTATCCTGAACTCTGCGGCCAGACTCATCCACCTTACCAACCGCTTCGCTTCTGCCACCCCCCTCTGTCATTCCCTCCACTGGCTTCCGATTGCCCAACGCATTTAATTCAAAATACTAACGCTGACATACAAAGCCATTCATAACGCTGCCTCTAACTACTTCACCGACCTGATACCCAAATACCACCCAACCCGTACTCTTCGCTCCTCACAAGACCTCCTACTTTCTAGCTCCCCGGTCTCCTCCTCCCACGCCCTACTGCAAGACTTCTCCAGGACTTCCCCCATCCTCTGGAACTCACTACCCCAATCCATCAGACTGTCACCTACCCTCCTCACCTTTTAGGTTTCACCCTGAAAACCCATCTCTTCAGGGAAGCCTACCCCACCCTCATTTTACAGCCGATCTCCTCCCGTCCTGCTACCACTCCATCCCCCACAGCAACTTCCTCCTGTACCACTATCCCTCCCTCCTAGATTGTAAGCTCGAAAGAGCAGGGCCCTTGAACCCCTCGTGTACTGTTTTGTTACTGTATTGTCTCATGTTCTGTCCTCCACTATAATGTACAGCGCTGGGCAAACCTTTTGGCGCTATATAAATACTGTATAATAATAATAGTATAAGCGCATTAATGCGACTGACTTCAGCTGATACACAGTGATGAAATAAATCCATCTACATACGCTGTACCTGTTTATCAGTAGCCCTATGTTCTCCACATCCTTCCAAAGTAAACAGTTTAGATGGTATTTCTCAGAGCTGAGTGTAATCTGAGGTCTTAGTGTAGAGAATAGACACATCCCCTTCTAAATAGTCTTCTAAGGAACCATGCACATCTGAGGCTGTCAATCACCTGGTGTGTCCTAGAGGGGAGGGCTGGACTGTCCCGAAGCATTGCTTGGTGTCTGAGGAACAAATGTCAGACGTTACTCTTGCAGATTGCAGAGAGAGGAGAGAGCAGAGAGGATCCGCACTAGGTGCTATGGACTGAGGCACATACTTCATTTTTAATTTACATGATTTACAATCACCTAAATGCTGTGTAAATTGTAGCAGGGTTTCATTATATTTCCCTTTATATCTGTCTGGAGATCAACTTTAACTTGTGATGCCAGCAATGCATATGTGTGTTCGAAAGCCATTGCATTATAGATGCCACTTAAGCAAGAATGAGAATAAAATAAGACCAAGTAAAATAGAGCATACAGCATGTGGACAATTGTTGTCTGAGAAAATAAATTATTCTTCAGAATTGGGCTGTATGTCTGTTTGTTTTTTTTCTCTAGTGAGTCATCATTATGGTTATGGGCTTTTGGATGCTGGAAAACTGGTGGATCTTGCCCAGAAGTGGGAAATGACGCATCCTCAGAGAAGATGTGGGGTCAACATTGTGAACAGTCCTCAGTGAGTATTCACTTAATTTGATATTTTTTATCTAGCACTGTGAATTGATGAAATAATATTGTGTTTTATCATATGGTCCTTGTCTAAAATTGCCTAATGGTGACTTATTTATTTACCATTCCTCTACCATTTGTGCTTTCTAGCTATATCAATGTAAAGGGATTGATTGTAAAGGTTGTTTGCTGGGTTTGCTTTTTTTTTTTTTTTAAAGGTCACACACTAGGCTGCATGGATAATTGCTTCCCTGTCTGTTCCATGTGGTGTGCTGGGGTGCCATTTAAAACGAATATCAACACCGGTTGAGTATTACCATGTTTGGCGTTAACACATGGTGAAGCGTCCGCTTTTTTCCTAATACCATAACTTACAGGTGTAACACCAGCACCATTCTTTCCTATAGGGACCTGTACTCCTAATGGCCACCGTATGTTTAGCTCTCCTGTAACAAAGAATTTGGCCATGGTATGTATGCGTGTGCACTTAAGAGGACGCAGCAGGACCTTTTTTGGATAAAATTCTGCGTTTGAATACACAGTGAATATCACTGGATCGAGGCTAAGAGCCAGAGCATCTTTTCCAAAGAACTGATAATTGTACATACACCTCATGATCTGAGGTGCTTTTATATTAATGTTACATTTTTGATAATGGGCTTGCTATAAAGTAAACAGGAATTAAACCATACATTTACATTCTTGGTATCCTTTGGGTTAAATATTCAGTGTGTTTTTTGGTCTGTTGCCAATAAGGCCCGTTTTTTTTCCAGGTAAACTGCACAAAAGGTATACTCTTTTGCACCTTCCTAGATCACCTGCTCTTGTATTTTCCTATTCCTCCATAATTTATGTGGAGGTACAGTGTGAGACATCACATTTAAAAGGTAGACCGTTAAACTCAAACCTCCCTCAGCCACCTGAAACCGGTAAACTAGTCCTATCTTCGTTAGTGAAATGTCAGGGGGACAAACAATGTAGCAAGAAATAAACATATAAACTAAACTCGAGCTGCACGATAGTGATTTAATGTGTAGATTAACCATTAGGACTCATTTACACTTGCAGCTGGGCGGTGGCTATAAAAACAGGCAGTCAAGCCATGTTTTTATAGCCCTCTGACTGCCCCTCTTAACCACCCCCCCCACCCCCAGAGAAATTTCTTGCACACGGTAAAATCTACATTTTTTTTCTTTTTAGTCTATAATCATTTTTTTTTTTTTCTACAGAGGCCCTGTAGAATAAAAAAATGATAGTTTAGTTTGGTGCATGATTTTTGTGCAACTATTTAGCAAATGTATATTTTAAGGAAAAAAAAAAAAAACATCACTTTTGGTACACAAACACAATCCCTGTTTTTGTGCAAAAGAAAGGTGAGGTTTTAGTAAAGTAAAGTGATACAAAATATGTCAGGCGTGAAAACTGTGTATGCCCACTAAATGGCGAAAAATTATCATACACAAATCGATAGGTGGAGCTTTTACAACTCATCAATTTAAAGTAAACTATAAATAATGCCCCTGGACTATGGCTTTCGCTCTGACTTTTGCAGCAATATGCAAAATGCATGGCGCAATTGCAGTTTACATACACGTGTGCATCCTATACCTGTGTTTGCATTTGTGTGTGCAGGGTGATGTGGTTTCATTTTAATTTTTTTTTCTTAACCACTTCCAGTCCTTAGGATGTACTCGTATGTCCTTGTGTGGAAGCAGTTGTACCAGGATCATGGCTACAGGTGGAGCCAATAACCCTGGTATCAAAATTTGCAACTGGTGATGGGCTTTCCTGTAAGAGTGATCCAAACAGCTCTACAGCCACCTAATCACTTTTACAGTGCACGGAAGGGGCCCCCTTCTTCTGCTGTTCCCGGCCTCTCCTGTTCCACTGGGGAAAAACAAGGTTGGGTCAGCTACAGACAGAGGTTGTAGTAGAGCAAATAGATACCAAATATGTCAGTTTCACACACAGCAGAGAAGATCAGGGAACAGATGTTCCCCAATCTCCTCCTCCTCTCACCATCCTAAAGTCACTAGTTGTGGTCCTGGACTTCCAAGAGGAGTGGGAGAGCCTGGGAACTGCAAAGAGTGAAAGAAGAGGAGACAAGTTCAGGACTGCTAATTCAGCCGTGAGCTTGTTTTAAACCCTTCAGACTCTGGTCGCACATACTATGTCCAGAGAGACAAACAAGCTAAAGTTGAACTATACTCACCTGGGTTTCAGCGATATGATGTCCTGAAGCTCCCCAGCAGCCGCTGACATCTTTGACCTTTCACCCGGGTGCCAAACATTGGGTGGAGATTTTCAAAGGGACAGCAAGGGCTGCTGCTAGTGTAAGCTTCGCCTTAGACTCAAAGCTGAAATTTTGTTTAGCTAGTTTTCAATTCCAGATGATTAAGACTACAGGTATGGTCAGTATTTATCACTATCAGACAACCCACCTTGAAAAATGCTGTGCAGTCATTGCTGGAGTGCGTACATGTAGACAGAAACCACCAGTTTGGAGAAGCAGCCATAATGGGAGCTCAGAGCCATGGATATTCCCTGTGTATATTTTAATGAAGAGGTCTTTGCTCTCATGTGTGCAAAATGATGCTCTTATACTATGAATGACCACCGATCAGCTTAGCCAAAAGGTCAGGTGCTGATGCACCTGTCCAAAATGAAGGGTCACATACTGCAATTTAGTTGTATAATTCTAGATTTTTGTGCAGATATTTGCTCCAGTCTTTCAGTGTTTAGCATGAGTAGCAAATTCCCAAGTCCTTAACAAATATTGTAAACCTCCCAGCAAAGGCGTGACCATTTATTTACAGTAAGCCTCACCAATACTCTGATCCAAACAAATATATACTGAGACTTATTAAAAAACAAATCTAGGGCACATATACTTTACAAGAAACCTCTAACAACACCCTGTGAATCTCTTGCTGCTATGTTCAGTGGCAGCAGTTTCAGAAATGAAAACCTGTTTAAAACTTTTAATACACCAGTAAAGGGGATCACCATTTTTGTTGACAGTTTAAAATCATGTTTGTATATAAAGTTTCATAGGCAGTTTCGCCTCCTCTGAGAAAAGAAAGCTACATCTTATGTACACCTTTCTATCTATTAAAATTTTCTCTACTAGCAAGATTATTCAGCTGTTGCAGAGCCGCTGGAACTCCTTTGCAATATTTGGATCGGACAGAGCTCAGCATAGCTGTGGGGTCTGTACTTGAAACCCTCTGTAAGGAAGATGCGGGGCCAGCCTGTAATGTACAGTGTGGCAAAAAAGTATTTAGTCAGCCATCAATTGTGCAAGTTCTCCCACTTAAAAAGATGAGAGAGGCCTGTAATTGGCATCATAGGTAGACCTCAACTATGAGAGACAAAATGAGAAAAAAAATCCAGACAATCACAATGGCTGATTTGGAAAGAATGTATTTGCAAATTATGGTGGAAAATAAGTATTTGGTCAATATCAAAAGTTTATCTCAATACTTTGTTATATATCCTTTGTTGGCAATGACAGAGGTCAAACGTTTCCTGTAAGTTTTCACAAGGTTGGCCCACAGTGTTGCTGGTATGTTGGCCCATTCCTCCATGCAGATCTGCTCTAGAGCAGTGATGTTTTGGGGATGTCGCTGGGCAACATGGACTTTCAACTCCCTCCAAAGGTTTTCTATGGGGTTGAGATCTGGAGACTGGCTAGGCCACTCCAGGACCTTGAAATGCTTCTTTCGAAGCCACTCCTTCGTTGCCCGGGTGGTATGTTTGGGATCATTGTCATGTTGGAAGACCCAGCCACATTTCATCTTCAATGCCCTTGCTGATGGATGGAGGTTTGCACTCAAAATCTCACGATACATGGCCCCATTCATTCTGTCCTGTACATGGATCAGTCATCCTGGTCCCTTTGCGGAGAAACAGCCCCAAAGCATGATGTTACCACCCCCATGCTTCACAGTAGGTATGGTGTTCTTTGGATGCAACTCAGCATTCTCTCTCCTCCAAACACAACGAGTTGTGTTTCTACCAAACAGTTCTATTTTGGTTTCATCTGACCATATGACATTCTCCCAATCCTCTTCTGGATCATCCAAATGCTCTCTAGCAAACTTCAGATGGGCCCGGGGAATGTACTGGCGTAAGCAGGGGGACACGTCTGGCACTGCAGGATCTGAGTCCCTGGCGGCGTAGTGTGTTACTGATGGTAGCCTTTCTTACGTTGGTCCCAGCTCTCTGCAGGTCATTCACTAGGTCCCCCCCGTGTGGTCCTGGGATTTTTGCTCACCATTCTTGTGATCATTTTGACCCCACGGGGTGAGATCTTGCGTGGAGCCCCAGATCGAGGGAGATTATCAGTGGTCTTGTATGTCTTCCATTTTCTAATTATTGCTCCCACAGTTGATTTGTTCACACCAAGCTGCTTGCCTATTGCAGATTCAATCTTCCCAGCCTGGTGCAGGTCTACAATTTTGTTTCTGGTGTCCTTCGACAGCTCTTTGGTCTTCACCATAGTGGAGTTTGGAGTGCGACTGTTTGAGGTTGTGGACAGGTGTCTTTTATACTGATAACAAGTTCAAACAGGTGCCATTGATACAGGTAATGAGTGCAGGACAGAGGAGCCTCTTAAAGAAGAAGGTACTGGTCTGTGAGAGCCAGAAATCTTGCTTGTTTGTTGGTGACCAAATACTTATTTTCCACCATAATTTGCAAATAGATTCTTTCCAAATCAGCCAATGTGATTGTCTGGATTTTATTTCTCATTTTGTCTCTCATTGTTGAGGTCTACCTATGATGCCAATTACAGGCCTCTCATCTTTTTAGGTGGGAGAACTTGCACAATTGGTGGCTGACTAAATACTTTTTTGCCCCACTGTATCTGTGAGCACTGGACACTGTGTAAGGTGCAACTATGGTACAACTTGTGGAGTCAGCCCCAGGCTGCTTTACAGGCCCAAAGTTGTGCTGCCGCCCACTGGTGGAAGCCTGTCCTTGCAAACCCCTGTGGGGGTTTGTCCCCTGGAGGTCTGCAGCCTGTCTGGTGGTATGCACATGATTTGGGGGGGGTCATATGTTTGAGTTGCAACACTTTAAATTGTATTAGAGAAACTCAATTGGAACGCGGTAAACATTTAATGGATTTTTCACACTGATTGTGTATGATGGAAGACAGGGAGCTGACATGCTAATGTCAGTGCATCACACTTTTTTCTTTATCTTCTTTTTTTTTTTTTTTTTTTTTAAAGAAATGTCATTTGTGACCTTTCAGTAGAGTTCTATTCACTGCAGCTGTAGTGGTTCTGCATGCATTACTTTTTTTCAGTGCACACTACTGGAACACTGTGGTGTGCACGAACACCATAGGAAACATGACATTCAGCCTTGTCTATGCATAGCCCCAATGTACCACATCTTGTGTGAACAAGCTCAAATTGCAGTACACCTTTTCTTGGTGCTGCAGCACTTTAGCGTGGATGCTGTTTGTGTAAGTTGCAACAAGCGCTTACTAGCACGGTGAGCACCTTTTGTAAAGGCTAAATCAAACTCTCAGGCAGTAGTCCTGCCCTCCACAAGTGTTGAGACGTGTTACTGTGTGCGCACACTTTCTCTGCCAGAGCTTCAGCTGGCTCCCTGCAAGGTCAACACCCCCACTTTCAGACTCTGAGGTCCAGGAGCCAAAAGACTTTCCATATTTGCATGAGAGTCTGGGACTTAAAGTTGAACTTCGCTTTCTCAATCAACAGTGATTATTTTGAATCTTTATACTGCTAGCATTAGTAAATAGGTAGAAAAGTATATAATATTTACTTGTTTTAAACTTTTTTTTTTTTTTTTTTTTTTACATTTCTTCAGTTACTTCCCAGTTTCCATGCCTAGGCAAATGATGTCACACATCCCAGGAGTCTTCAGGAGGGGAGGAGGGGCTTTCTCAGCTAGGCACTCCCTCCTGACTGCATGTCTGAGCTAAGAGCAGATGGATTTCAGAAAGTAAATGCTACATGAATATTCTGCTCTTATTCTAGATGGCCATGGCCAGAAATGCTAGGGGGATTGTTTTTATAAGTGATTTCTCAGCAAAATAAAGCATGGTGACATGGATGGGTGTGTTTGCTTTGAATAATAAACATAAATTAAATAGAGCTTTTGGTTTGTGGTGCTCAAATACAGTGTAGTTCTGCTTTAATGTTGTTCTCCTTTGAAGCAGTTTCATATGCCCAATTTCACTCCAGATTGTTGCAACTCGGCATTCTGGCTATGTGGGACAAGAGGGTGCAATCCAAGCTTGCCCTGGCATAGTGGGTCACAGGTTTGCTGTGGAATTAGGGGAATATCCTTCCTCTAAATGGTTTGGAAAGTACTCACGATGGATGTCTGCCTGTTGGGCTGGGAGGTATTTTGAGTACCCTCTCGGTGCAGGGAACTTGGGTCATCGGAGAAGGTTCGCTCTGGTCAGTATTCTAGAGCTCCAGGGGAGTGCCATAGCAGTGGCTCACATCAACCATCAGGGAGGCACCAGAATTTTTGTCGCTCAGATAGAAGTTCATGTTCCAGTCCCATCCCCCATGTACATCCCATGCGTGAAAAAATGGCAGTTGTGCTTCCTCAGTTGTCAATGACTGGACTCTGGAAAATGGTCTCTTCATTCCAGTGTGATTAAAGAACTCTGTTGGACATGGACCAACTGGTTTCCATAACCAACTTTGGAAGTTTTTTTTCAGATCCTGGAATCCTCTGCCTTTCTCCCTCTGAATCTACTTCCTTACTTACTCTGCAGCATCAGAATAGGAGAGTATTCTGGTAATTTTCATCCCAATGAACTTGCCCAGGTGGGGTCCTCAGACCTCATTAGGCTCCTGGCAGACTCCCCATCTGTCCTACCCAATTGAACAGATCTTCTGTCCCAGGGACTGGTTTGCCACTCTGCTTCTGTTGCTGGCTTTAAAGGTTTGGGTATTGAAGCCCAGGTCCTTAGACACAGGTGCTTTTTGAATTTGGTCAACCCTATGCTCTTGAAAACTAGATTGACTGCTTACAAAGTCTACCATCTAACTTGGAAACTGTATTTCTCTTAGTGTGAAACAATGAAAAAGAACTGTTAAAGCTAAGATCTGACCCTTGATGGTACTCGAGGCAAAACAGAGATCCAAACCATATTAGAGAAAAGACAGGATTCATCCCACAGGGAATTTGAGACCACTTGCCTCTCAGTTCTTAGTGAAGGCCTTTGTAGAGGGTGTTGCTCACATTATTCCTCCTGTACATTCCCCAGGGACTCCATGGGATCTCAACCTGGTTATGATGGCTCTTCGAAGAACACCCTTTGAACCTAGTAGGGAAATTCCTTTGTCTATTCTTATGTGCAAGGTTGTCTTTCTCATCACCCTCACTTCTGCAAAGTGAGTTTCCAATGGCGATTTGTTCTTGTTATCTTAACCAGGACATTTTTCTACCTTCTCTCTGTCCTCCTTCTAAACAACCTAAGGAGATTTCTTTCCATTGTCTGGATGTGCTAGGTGCTGTTTATCTCTCAGCTACAGCTCGTTTCGACAGTCTGACTCTGTCGTTCTTGAAAGCTTCTATAAGAGACAGCCTGCTTCTTGTTCCACTATTGGTAGGTGGATTCATAAGCTCATTACTCAAGCTAATAACCTCAAGGTCAAGTTTCCCACTTTTTCACTAGATCAGTTAGTGCTTCATGAGCTTGTCAGCATCTATTTATCAGATTTTCAATGCTGCCACCTAGTCTTCTGTCCACACGTTCATTAGGTTTTACCAGGTTGATGTTCAAGCCTCAGCTGATGCTAGCTTCTCTCATAAGGTTCTTCAGGCTGCTCTGTAGAATCCTTTTAGTTAACCTGTTGCTTTTGGTTAGCCTGTTGGCTTTTGTTTACTGTTTTGCCCACCGACCGCCCAGTTGGACTGCTTTTGGACATCCCAATGTATCTGAATAATTTCATCCTGTGTACCGTAATGTATCATTAGGAAAAAAAGGTACATTATAGCACACCGGTCCCTCCTCTCTATTATCCATTCATTCTAATGGGGTGAGAGGGGTTATACTTGGCTTGCTTTGGCTGTGTTCAAGCTCCTAAAGGCAACAGCATAGCTAAATGTACCTGAATTACTTCATCTTGTGTACCATAATGCAATCCAAGAAAGGGATTTTATGGCAAGTCAAAAAAATTTTTCTCTCCTCAGGGTTTCTTTTAAATAGTGCTTCAGTTTTTCTCTTTTTGCATCTCATACAGGAAACTGTCTTCTGGGCTTATTATAAGCAGAAACATCAGTGCCTGCGTTGGATCTCCTAACTATATCCTGTCCCTAGAACATATCCAGGTCCAAATCTCCCTTAGTTATACACGGAGAGGTGATCTTGAAATTTTCCTCACCAGTCCGATGGGCACACGTTCTGTTCTGGTATCTCTGAGGTGAGATCATGTTTTTAAGAACGGTGTTAATATAGTTGAAGGTCCTTAATGTTTGATTGTCTTCACAGACCATATGACATGAACAGTGCGGGTTACAGAAAATGGAATTTTATGACAACCCACAGCTGGGATGAGAACCCACAGGGTACATGGACCCTAGAGCTAGTGAACAAAGGAAACTTCTGGAACAATGGTATGTTCATTGGCTCTTTTTTAAAAATAATAAACTGTTTGTTTAGTGAACATTTGTAATCACTATATGGATATTTATGGCATATTCTTGTTTAAGAATGTGGTTTTCAATAGGCACCTAAATTGGTAGTAAACAGTGCTAAAAAAAAAAAAAAAAAAAAGCCACCCCCCCTCTTCCCCCCAGGCTCAGGTCATAATACTACCACTATGACAGACTTGCCTAAAATACTGGTCCCTCACTACTGACAGGGAATCCATCCTCACCCCATCTTCTTTCTGGGTTTGTGGGCTCCGGCCATTTGATTGGCCATGCCATAATTACATAATTCCTGCACATGCACGCAGGAATCACGACCGTGGCACAACTCACCTCTCTCAATGGACACATGCATCGGAGATGTCACCGGCTGCTACACATTACAATATATCCTTAACTGTGCACATTTAGAAGATAGTCACTGTACCTACAGGTAAGCCTTATAGGCTTACCTGTAGGTACAAGTTAAAAAGCGGAGTTTACTAACACTTTAAGATCCTATATTCTTTGAGGATTTGGGGAGAGACCGGCAAGTGTGAGAGAGATTCTATTTTAAGCTATAAACTTTTACTTTTCTACGTGTGAAACCATTTTTCTCCCCTATGTTTGCATAATATTAGATTACCCTCAAGAACCAAGCTGCTTAAAGCCGTATTAAACCCAAAAACGAAAATGTAACATGTTGCAGGTTACCAATCCTTAGATGTGGTGGCCACATTCATTTTTTTTTTTCTCCTTTTCTTTTTTTCGCCTGGTGATCCAATCAGTGACACACTTTTGTCTTAGGGTGTCTGCATTCTGGATGAAGTAGTAAAGCAAACACCTTTGGACAGCAGCATTGTCAGTCTGGGGAGAGAGTGGTGTTAGTTGAAGTTCAGTTTCAGTTTGTTAGTGAAGTCCATCTAAATCTGCTAGTCTAACAATATAAAAGCAGTTACAGAAAACAGCTATTTTCCTTTTGGTGTAAGAGGCTGTTCACACAGCAATGGGCAGGTGCCGCACACTAAACCACAGTGGTTTAGTGTGCGGCAGTTGTCCGTTTCTGCTACAGTGAGCCTGTGGTAAAGGTCAGTGTGACAGTGCGTTTCAGTGCATGACACAGCTCCCTTTTTGTTTTCTTTCCTTTTTTTTTTTTTTTTGTATGAACTTTATTTTGAAGTTCGCAAAAGTGACACATCAAGCATATTGCTGTCCAGCATTGCACTGCTGTACAGTAACGTGATTCTGTACAGTGTGCTGTGATTAAAAAGCAGCATGTGTGCATTTTATCACTGCTCACTGCACCACACCTCTGGGGTGCATTGCAGTGTGAATATGACACATTAAACAATTGTGGTCTGTGTGTCCTAGTGGTGACCTGCATTTGTCCAGTGTGGTAAAACACAGGTCATCGCACTATGTATGTACAGGGGAACTAAAGGTTTAACAGAAATTAATAAAAGCTGACCATTTTAAGCACCCATGCCAGTGGTAAATGGTTTGTCTTAACCTTTTAACTGCCACTTTGTCTGGACAGCTTGATTGGTAAAGAAAGTTGAAAAATAAGATGTACTGGCTGGTTCACCAGGTGAAAATAAAGGAAAGAAAGCCTACGAAGGAAAACTAATGCAGCCACCACATCTAAGAATTGGTGAGTTGCAATTTAACGAATTCTTGTTTTTGGGTTTAATACAGCTTTAAGGACTGTTGTGATAACATGTCAACCAAGGAGGAAGTAAATTGTTTGCTGGGAATATGCTGAATCACAAAGGGGAAGCTGTGTATAACTTCAGTCTTCCAATTGTGTACAAGCTAATATTCACTTTTTAAAATATATTATTACTGAGTACAGTCAGCAATTATCATATCAGCTTATTCACAAAGTTAAGTGAATAACTTGCAAACTGAACATTCTGTACTCTTTTAGTTGGTCAATCCATAGACTTTCATTGGTAGAAGTAAGCCGTGAAGCACTATTGTGTAGAACTGCAAACTATGATGTAGAATATGGATCTGTAATGGCCAAAATATGCCACCTCCATATTCATACATGATTCAAACTATTCATAGAATAAAGTATTAAAACACGTTGGATGAATAATTTCCATAAGTTGATCTTTACATGTACTGTATACCTAAACAATAATGTAAAAAAAAAACTATACATTTCCTTTAGGGATAATTTTTTTAATAGAACTTCAGCTTCTTGGTTGGCTTTTAAGTTTTCAGACGCTGAATTGCTGTGTTCTGCAACCATCATTACAGTAAAGGTTACATAAAACAGCACTGGGGTTTCATATGTAGCATGTACCTTCTATAGCACTGTCATTTGTCCAGGGCTCAGCAGTAGGGTATCACTGCGTTGGTTTTATCACTCCCTTCATATTTAAATATTGTTTGTTACTGGATAATTAATTTTTCTGTTTAAGCCGTTAAATATTTCCTTTCATTAACATGCAATCTACTGTTATGTTATGTGTGCTTTTATATATTTAAGGATTCTTAAACAGTTTCACGCTAGTTCTTTATGGCACTGATGAAAATGTAATGGCTAGAAAAATATCTGAGCCTGTGTTGCGGGACTGTGTGACTCGTGACCTCAATGGAACATGTCTGGGTAAGTGTTTGTTTTTTGTTTTTTTTGTTTTTTACACTCATTTCTGGGGTGTTAAATAAAAACAACTCAGGTTGAAATGCTCATTTATAATCCAGAACGGTCTCCTGAAGTGCTTTTCTCTAACCCGAAAAACTGAGGACATCTTGTAGAAATACAACTTTAATATTAATTCAAATAGTTTTATTAGCCAAATACAGTAAGTGGCACTGTGTTTTAGTACAGGAAACGTAGAGTTGGGTTGAATTTTTCTCCTCCGTTCAGGAGAAGAGTTGAATTTTTATAAAGTAATACTTGGCTTCCGTTGATTGGCCAATTTGGAAAAATTGGGCAGATGACACCATGCTTTCAACCTCGGCCAATCAGAGGAAGCCTTATATTAATTTTCCAGCTTTGCCCGAACAAACTATTTAAAGCAATAATAAAGCTGGGATTCTCCTTACAATGATGCCCTGCATTCACTGTATAACTGATCAATCAGAGATGACTGCCCAGTCCACAGAGGATGTGAATAGGATCCTGCAGTATTCTAGGGTCTGAAGAGTTCGAAAAGCGTATTAGAAAAAAAAAAAAAAAAAAAAAAACAGCAAAAAATTTTCCCTATTTCGGGAACCTTCAGAGGTGAAAAAAGCTAGGACTGTTGGTGGGGGTATGGATGGGAGTCTGGAACCCTAATTTGGGCTTTAAATACCTTAATGTGCAATCAGTTTATATAAATATAAATTATATTTTTAACCCTTTCACTACTACCGATGTAAAGAATACAGAGGCACAGAATCGCTTAGTAACTAAGCCTTAGTTGACCAGGTCAGTATGCCTTCTGTCAGCTGCATTCCCCCTTCTGCTTAAGTGACCATAAACTTATGGCAGAACTGTCTCCCAGAATCTCTTGGTTAAAAATTAGCTGTGATCAGTAGCTTACACAGGTCCTAATTTGGCAGGCATGCAGATGAGTGGCCCTGAATACACACTGTCTGTGTACACACACCCCTGTTAAACTAGGACCTGCAGCTGTGTTCTTACACCCACTGCATCTCCATATAGTAATGTAGGCTGGCTGCAGCCACATACACTACTGATACATGCTATATGGGTCACAGTACCTCTGTGAATGAACCCCAAGACTTAATTCACACTTACACAGAGTGTATTTCCGCACCTGGGAGTCAGTCAGAAGTGTTTGTATACAACTGCAGACAACAGCCTGTGAAAATCTACAACAGACTGACACTGCAGCTGTAACTGCCTATCCTGGATGCAAATTGAACTTCTCATACATCCCTATATGCATGTAACTGCTCCAGATGTGTGGTTACATACTTACAGCCAATAGCCTCTGTTGGCATGTCACTGATTTGTGTGGTCAATGCCTGTATGCAAGGACCTAAGACTACTGGGTGAAAAATTAATTCTTGATACTGTATGGTGTCATGTATACCCCTAGTTTTCCCCCAACACACACACACACACACACACACTACAAGTATAATAGTAATAAACTTTACTTGTGTAGGAGCTCATTCACATCAGTGTGCACATGTTATGGTAAAAATACACACATGCTGCCGTGCATTATTCTTTTCTTTTTTAATAGCATTGATTCAACTCTGTGTGCGACAGCGTGTTGCTGCAATGAAATGTATGCCTGCATGATTTTTTTTATTCCATAAAAGTTTATTTAGAAGTGACAACATGTTACAGGAAAATATAAAGAAATGCACACGCAGCATCAATCAGGTCATAGACACAGCTTAAACCAAAATACAGGAAGAAACAACATGGTAGAGTGCGACACTGTGGATAACATAAGCATGGCAAATTACGGCAGAGATATGCCTGTAGTACTCAAGGTTCAAAAATGTACAATATAGAAGGTAATAACAGCTTACTTCCACCAAGTGAATATTGGCGTACTGGCCTAAGCATGGAGGAAATGAACCTTCAGAGCCTAAACCAAAAGCAGTACGCTATCATGAGGCTAAGTGAGCATCGCAGTATAAGAGAAGATGTCGTGAGTACCATTGACCATCCTAGAGGAGATAAGCTAACCATATACCAAGTAATCCTGGATAAAATGAAGACTAAGCCTGATCGAAGACTAAGAGGTTGTCGAGAAAGAAAAGAAAAAAGGGGAATAGAAAGAAAGAAAAGGATAAGAAAAGGAAAAGAATGGGAGTCATAGTAGAGAGAGAGAAGAGAAAGAGGGGGAGAAAAAAAAAAAAAAAAAGGGGGGGGGGGGAAGAGTAAGGGGAGAGGGGAGAAGGGGGGATAAGAGGCAAAAAAAAAAAAAAAAAAAAAAGGGAAGCAAGGGAAGCGAAAGGTCCGGGCTGCGAAGTTTGTGTCAACAGTGTTATTGGAGATCATAAATGAGAGTGTCAAGAATTTAAACATTCACCAAAGCTAAGCAGGCAAATATAAATTACCGGAAAAGAGGTCATAACCACACAGATTATGAGAGAACCAAGGGCATAACCAGAGGTAGGGCTGAGCTCAATCAGGTATCCCGACCCATGAGAGATCCGAATTCAGGGGTAGTTACAAAGTGGGTCCAGCAGGCCCAAACATGTGAGTATTTAGTTGGCAGATCAAGTGCAGTCGCAATCAGTTCCTCCATCTCCGCCACTTTGCCTACTCGATTGAGCCAATCGCGTATAGTTGGGGGGTGAGTGGAGCCCCATAGCACAGGAAGACAGAGTCTGGCTGCGTTGATCATATGCATCGCTAGGGACTTGAAATATTGACTCCTAGGAATGGGGGTATGATGAAGCAATAGCTGAGCAGCAGAGAAAACTATGGGCAGAGTGGTCACTGAAGTCACCAACCGGTGGACCTCCTGCCAGAATGGTTGAATAAGTGGACAGGACCACCAAATATGTAAGAAAGAGCCATCAGGTGTCCCACATCTCCAGCACACGTCAGGGACAGAAGAGTTAAACCGATGAATTCTGGAGGGAGTACGATACCATCTAGTGGCTAATTTGAAGCCATTTTCCTGCGTCGAAACATTACTCGAGCAGGAGTGGGAGTACATAAAAATGCGGTCCCAATCCGACTCTGATAAATCCGTCTTTAGGTCTCTGTTCCACGCACGGCAAGAGGGGAAAGAAGTGCAAGTCCTGCTGTCCCCTAGGAGAGGATAAATCTCAGAGATCAAATGCTTCCGCGGTTCGGATTGAGAGCATAAGGATTCAAATGGAGTAACAGGGCGAGTCCAATTATGGCGGGATTTATGGAAAAGCAGGAAGTGTCTAATCTGAAGAAAGGCCCAGAGAGGGAATTCGCGGATATTCAAGCTAACCTTCAGCTCCTGTAATGTTTTCACCTTGCCGGAGTGAAGAAAATGTTTTACTAGAATCTGAGCGTATGGCGAGTAATTTGATAAAAAATCCTTGTGCAACCCTGGGGGAAAATCTGGATTCAGGCGGATCGACGTCAAGGGACTAGGAGAGTCCGAAACGGATGACGTTGTACAGGCCTTACGGAAAACTTCTAACGTGGGACCTATCAAAGGATGGGAGAGGAGAACTTGAGGTGTGTGTTTCGGCAATAGCCAAGGGATCGATGGTAGGGGAGTGGGCGAAAAAGCCTTCTCCAAAAGGACCCAGTCTTTGGAAGCAGAATGAATGTGCCAATCGACTATGCGGGAAAGATGACACGCCCAGTAATAGCGGTGTAGGTCAGGGAGCCCAATGCCCCCGCTGAGTTTGGGACGAGTCAGCTGAGAGAACGAGACCCGCGGACGCTTGTGATTCCATAAAAATAAGGAACATAGCTTCTTGCAAGAAGCAAAGAATGTCAATGGAAGTTGAATTGGCAAAGTTTGGAAGAGATAGAGGAGATGCGGAAGTATTATTCATTTTAATAATGGCAGCCCTACCAAACCAAGAGAAGCAGGGGCGATGCCACTTGTTGAGGTCTTCCTGTATGACTTTGAAAACCGGTAAGAAATTTTTGGCATAAAGGTCGTCCAGATTGCGAGTAAGTTGTACACCAAGATATGGAAGGGCATCCCTCACCCACTGAAATGGAAAATGAGACTCACAGAAGGAGACGAGATCAGTGGGAAGGGTTATGTTGAGGGCGTATGACTTTGAAAAATTAATTTTCAAGTTTGACAAAAAGTGGAAAAAAGCAAAGTCTTTCAGCAAACTCGGTAGGGTGGTGCGAGGGTCAGCCAAAAAAAAGGAGGATATCATCCGCATAAGCAGCAAGTTTGTATTCTTTGTCTGCTCCTGATCCCCTTAATATCTGGGTTAGCGCGAATTTGTCTCAAAAGAGGTTCAAGGGAAATGACGAACAGAAGCGGGGATAGGGGGCAACCCTGACGAGTGCCATTACCCAGCGGAAAGGGTTCGATAAGTGTCCATTAACCCGAACTTGAGCTGTAGGGCCCGAGTATAGGGTCATAATAAAGCTTATCATTTTCTCGCCCAGGCCCAAAGCCATCAGTGATCCCTGCAAATAATCCCAAGCAATCCTGTCAAAGGCCTTCTCAGCATCCAATGAAAGGAAGAAGGCCGGAGAGTTAGATTTGCAAAGCCAGTGTTGGAGATTAAGGGCCTTGATAGTGTTGTCCCTAGCTTCTCTACCAGGGATAAATCCCATCTGATCCAAGTCAATGAGGGAAGGGAGCAAAGGGAGAAGTCGGTTAGCAAGCATCTTTGCAAAACAACTTAATATCCACATTTAGCAGGGAGATGGGTCTGTAATTAGATACCTGGGAGGTATCTTTACCGCTTTTGGGGATGACGGAAATGTGTGCGTCCAACAGCCTATGGTGTGGCCTAGGGGACTGAGAAAGAGTATTGAAAGCGGAAAGAAATGGAGTACTCAGAATGTCAGAAAGGATTTATAATAAGCCGCAGACAAGCCGTCAGGACCCGGACTTTTGCCCGTTTTCAACTGCCGTACCGCGCACTGCAATTCGCTTAAGGTCAGATCTTGGTCCAGCGATAAAACCGTCTCCTCAGAGAGAGCGTTTGGACCATGAAGACGAAGAAATT